CAGCAGCACTCACCTGTGGACAGCACTGTCTTTGTCCCACTCTCACCGTAATAACGTTACTAATCACGGTATTATGTGGTATATGCTTTCAGACTTTAGCTGGCGTTATGTTGCAGCTACCAGCTAACTACGCAGTAAAACAGCGGTAACTTAAGTTGGGCCTACATAAAGCTCATGTATCGGTTTGTGTCACGTTGTTGAATGCTGTTGGGTTTTAGGCGGGCCTGCGTACAGCTCCAGCTAATTTACCATGACCAACTGTGTAGTCGAGAAGAAAGTTGAACCAACCTCGTAAATCCAGCTCCCGGTCTCTCACGGGGTTGGTATATTGGGCAGCCTGCTCAATTAGCTCCGCAGATAGTTTCACCATGTCGCCGACAGCAAACGTTACCACAATGTAACGTTAATATGTTGCTGTGAAACGTCCTGCGGCGTGCACTGCTACAAACACGCGGAAGCCGGAACAAAGGCTTCGGGGATGCTCATAAAAGCGGCTTTATTTTGTCCTAGCGCCCCCCAGCGGATGGATGATAATACGACGTGACAGCCAGTTGTTGAAAGCAGGCAGCAGAGCAATTTTCAGGTACTTTTCATTTACAGTTAATGCTACAATACTCAGGGTTGGGGAAGGGTGTCTTCTATAAGACTACAGAACACTGTGACCACAGAAAAGAAAATGGAAACCAAGATTTTTAGCATCAAAAATGTCCTCTGCTGTATTTAAAAATTGTAATCCTGCTAAATAATCCCCATTGTTATTAAATGTAACTGTAATATCTGATTAAATATTTTTATCTGCAACTGTAATGGATTTCAGTTACCTTTTTTGTATCCTGATTACATAACTCAGTTCTCTACTTTACTGCATTTGAGAGGAAAAATGCTGTAGGCTACTTTTTACTCCACTGCATTCATCTGACAATTACAAATATGTTTTATAAAGTCTTATGCTTTGTTATAGAATAATACAATCTACATATAAGATTATTTATTACTATTATTATATATACTCTTCAGCAGTAGAGTACTTTACATTGTCTGCTTTGTTCATTTATGGCCAACTCTTGGCAAATGGGTTAAGTAGTATGAGATTTGTGTGTGGAACCAAAAGAAAAGACCACTGCTTCACACACACAAGAGGGCAGCGTTCACTCCTATGGCCATCAACATGAGTTTCATATCAGTCGTAAACAGTCTGATACAGCTCAGAATAATGAGCTTTGATCTTTCACCACAATGCCTCATCATTTAATACAGTCAGCAGTTTCTTTCTCTCTTTAAGGCATTTTTTCCCAGAAACATAGGCTTTAATGTAAATGTATGGGGGAAGAAAATGCAAATGTATTTGGGGCAACATGAGAGAATATCTGTTACTAAACATCTGCAAAGAATAAATGGAGAGAAAACAAGTGAGGAAAAAAGAGCCACTAAAACAGATGAGAAAAAGCTGTACAGGATGGTGAGGAATACAATCAAACACATAAGACCAAGCACAAAAAAAAAAGGACACACCCAACACACACCCACCACAGTCATTGTCCCAATAACACCACTCACACAGTGCAAACAGGGTCAGGCGAGGCCAGTCTCTGTTTCATGTTACAGTAACTTACATACTTAGATAACTTAATATGTTTTTGATTTTCAGTTAATTTCCATGAGTCTTTATTCCCATTTCAGGTTTTTGTTATAGGGACTCTCTACATATAAACACCTGGGCCCAATGACATCCCAGGCTAGCAGGGGCATGTCCAGACTTTTTTGACTGGGGTGGCACAACTTGGGCACTGACTTATGTATGGCCGGCATCAAGTATGTTTCTCAGATTTCGAGTCATTCCCAATTTATGTAATTCCAACACTGTTGATGGACCCCAGTTTGCAGAAATATTCAAATACACTAGGTGGAAATAACACATTTATACCACATGGGATTAGCATAAAGTGGGCATGTCTGTAATGGGAAGTCTTCCCATATAATCCATTTTTATTCAAATAACTTGAGGTCAAAGGTCAAGGGATCACTTTGAAAATGGCCATGCCAGTTTTTACATTGCCAAAATGTAACCCAACTAACTGAGGCTCTCTACAGGAAAGGACAGAGCAGGCTGTTCTTTCTGAGGAGGCTCAGGTCCTTCAAAGT